AATAAAACTTCTGTATTTCATTTACATCTTTACTGGAAAAGTATTTAGGGAAAATCTTAGGAAAAAGTCTTGTTTCTTCTAAATATCCAATTGTTAGGCATTCATAATCTGGAGCGAAATTCGTAACCATGGCTGTTCCAATAATTTGCCGAAACATTTGGCCGTTGAATAGAAAGTTGTTGTTTTTTAAAATAAATGTTGATTCAATGATAAATTCAGGAGTTAATCTTTTAATTATTAAACTTTTATGTTTTTCAATCCAGTACTTTAATGCTTCTATACCTAGATTGTGTGGAATACTAGTATATAGATTAACAATGTCACAAGTCAAAATACAACTATTCGAATTTAACGCTCTTGGTATCTTTCTTAAGAAATTCCAATCATCTTTAATGAAAGTTTTTTGTTTTGTTACATTTGGAGACAAAATAATATGTAAGAACTGGCTTAAATGTGATTTTGGTGAGTTAATTCCAGCAATAATTAGTCTACCTTTGAGATCATTTGGTGGTTTCATTTTGATATAAAGTGAATTAAATGCGTTTACTTTGTCTATAATTTCTTGACACTAATGAATTTTTGGAGTTATATAGAAACTACTAGATTTCCATTTAAATTAAAATTTGTGATGTAATTTATTTCATTTTTTGTTAGAAAATTATATTTTCCCATCATTTTTATTAAATCTCTAAAAACTGTTTTATCTGATTCAGGTTTTGTACTATCATAAGTATTTGCGGAGAGCAGGTGGTCTTGATGAACTAGTTTTTCATTATAATAAGTTGAATCCATTACAATAAAAGTGCTTCCCTTGTCTGCTTTTTTAATAACTACATTTTTCATTTCTTTTAGATCTTTAAATGCAATCCTTTCTTGTTGAGTAATGTTCAACTGACTGCATTTTGATAGGTTTAATTTGTTCAATTTTTGAAATGATTTTATCAAGATATGGTAGAGTTGTTTTGATATTATAATTTGACTTTTTTTAATTATGCTTATGTCTGTATTCTCCGTTCCATGAAATTTTTCTTTAAGTATTAGTTTCCTTGTGAATTGTTTTATATCAGAATAAATGTGTAAAATATTTCCTTTAGTAGAAGGGCAAAACTTTGGACCTTTTGTAAGAAGTGATATTTGTGATGTTGCCAGGTGTGTAGTTGATAAGTTGATGACCTTAGGTTGTATTTTTTTTTGGATTGGGCTTGACCAGTTTTTTGAAGTTATAATGTCTGATGTTTGATTATGATTATTGTTTATATTGGTTGAGCTAGAGGAAGTTGAGCAATTGATATTATGGTTTTGGTGGTTATCCTCTTGTTCGTTATTTTGCAAATTTTTTGAGTTTTGATTATTTCTGTCTTTTTCATACGCTGTTTTAGTAGAAGCTAAGTTTTTGGCCCATTTTTTGTCAATGCGATCAATATCCTCTTTTTTACATTCCTCATATTGAAAATACTAATTTTTCTTTAACTTCTTCGCTAGACGCATGGTTATTAATAAAACTAGTTACTTCATCTTCAAGGTTTTTAATCTTTTCTTATTGTAAGAATCTCACATTCAGATTTAAGGTGCTGTAACTCAAATTTTTTTTTCGCATTTTTTTCATCATATGACTTAAAATGGAAGTTGATACTTCCTTTTTAGGAATAAACAAAGGTTCTTGTTGTAAGCAGTCATGATAAATATTAAGAAGGTTTGTGCATCTACTATGTTTGTAGTAAAAATATTCATGTTTTTCTAACGATTTTATAAAATACCTTTGATGTTGATTTTTAAACTTCACGTATTCCTATATATATATATATATATATATATATATATATATATATATATATATATATATATATATATATATATATATATATATATATATATATAGGAATACGTGAAGTATATATATATATATATATATATATATATATATATATATATATATATATATATATATATATATATATATATATATATATATATATATATATATATATATAAAGACTAGTTTTTTGTAAGATTAACAAAAACAAAAATTTGCTAGAAAATTCATAGAAAATATTATTAATTTTATAAACCATTAAAAAAACTATTAAATATTATTTCTTCTTGGTAAAATGGCTAACTAATGCCAATATCTTTGGCCTAAATTATATTACTATAATCCCAAAAACTTATGTAAAAATTAAGAAATAGCATATAATGTCATACACTAAAGAGAAGATATAGCAGGCTGTAAAAAAAAAAAAAATGAAGAAAGTAAGGCTGTGTAAAAAATAAGAAAGCACTGAGATAACCAATGCTAAAAATAATGAAACATCAGAGTTTGGTAAAAAGAAACTGCAATATTGTCTTGTCGTGTATTATATTGTAATATATTGAGCAGTGTACAAAAATTGGCTGGCCTTGTGACAGATCTGCAAAAAAGAATTGTCAAAACATGCCTTCAACCATTTGGGAAGATAGGAGACAGAATTAAAGAATAAGATTCCTTTTAGGCAAACAAATAAGATCATAGCATAACATTTAGGCAAACAAATAAGATCATAGCTGCAGAAGTTTTTATTTAAAGGCTAAGGTAAATAAAAGAAGATATTTGTCTTCTTTTAATTACCTTTTTCTCAAAAAGCTGCTGAAAATCAAACTAAAAAGTTTTTTTTTTTGAAAAGTTATTTTGTAAAAATAACAAGCAAAAATATTAGAATAATAATTAAACAAATAAAAACTGCTAATCTTAATCTATTTTTTCCAATCATTTTTGATGAATGATGACGAAATTGTTGCTTACAATCTGATATCCTAGTTTTATGGTAAAATGATTATCAAAAACACCTTCAACTTTTATTTTCAATTTTAGTCCCGTGAGGAGCAACATAAACATTTTATAATTTTCTTGCAGAGTATGTAGTGTTATGTCTGCAAAGTTAGGAGACTTTATTACATTATTCTGCACAGTTATGGCTTTTTAAAGATAAACAATAAAAAATTCTTTATAAGTACTAGAGTTGTAGTCAAGACAGTTAAGACTAAGACCAACCAACTAATTATTGCTCAAGACCTAAGACTTTAAGACTAATACCATAATCATCACAAAGTCAAACCAAGACCAAAAAACAAGACTTTTCACAAGACCAAGACTTAGACTCTTAAATGCTCAACACAGTAAGGACTTATGCGTACACCTGCATGTATACTATTAAGCTCTTAGCTGATGTATTATATTACCATTTATACATCTCGGAAAAGTACCCAATTTACTTTTACTTATAAAAATATCAAAATAGGGTAAACCCTACTCTGATATTTTTGTTTATACTATAACATTGTCTTTTTTTTTTAAAAAACTGAGAATGTGTTTTATTGAAAAAAAACTGAGAATGTTTGAGTGTGTTTTATATTCTTCTTATTTTTTACAAAGTATATAAAAATTTACAAAAAAGCAAAACATGCTGGTTGCCATTGTGGGTTTATAATCAAATTATATAAAAAACGGTGTTTGTTTTATAGTAGTGATTTAAAAAATATATATATATATGCACACACTTCTTTCCTGGACTAATTTTTAAATGCTATGTGTTTAACTGCACTCCTTACCATAATTTAGATGTTCATCTTCAGTCTTATAACCTAGTATTGCACATAAAATTATTTAAAATGCCAAATAAGATAAAAAAATACTGGGTAAGTTATTTACAAAAAAAACAATAAAAAAAATCTAATAAATAAAACCATATTAAATTAAAAACTTTTAATGCTTTTTTATTTTAAATTAATATTTAGCAGGAGCAAAATATGAAACGAAAAAGGTTCATTTTCAATTTTGTGATGATTTTGATAATAAGAATTGTAATAATTCTTCAAGACACATTTGTTGTTTAAAGTTAAAGTCGTTTTAAAAAAAAAATATTAAACCATAAAAATTGTTTAAAAAGTGAAATTTAGCATATAAACTTAACAATTATACAAATAAAAACAATATATATATATATATATATATATATATATATATATATATATATATATATATATATATATATATATATATATATATATATATATATATATACACATATATAAATTGAATAAAATTTGTAAACAATCTTTTGAAACTGATAATGATATTATTTTAGAAAAATTCAAGTTTCCAAGTCATTTATTCCAAATGATATTACAAATGTTATTTTTGTTATGTTATGCTAACACTTGTTATTTCAAACGTAATTTAAAATAACTTTTGCTCTCAAAAAGGTTTTGGTGTAGGTATACTGTAACTTTTTTTTCCATAGGGAAAAAAATTTGTTGAAGGGGTTTTAAAAGTGATTTCATGCATAGAAAATAATTTAAGTTAATTGTTAAAAGCTTTATAAAAGTGGACTCAAGACATAAATTTATCTTGTGAACAATTTTTTTTAAATATTTTTATTTACTTACTGAAAATCAAAACATTGTAATAAAGACTGTACAACCATTTTTATAATATTTTATTTTCTGTAAAAATTTTAATAAAAAAAATATTTACTTCACAAAAAACATATTTTGTTCATATTTAAATTTAAGATAGTCTTTTGAAGTATTTATATTCATATATAAGACTTGTACAAACAGTTTGGTAATTTTTAAATAATAATTTGTTTCCTAAAGAATTAAAGAAATCTTTAAATCTTTTAACTCTAAATTAAAAAAAACAAAACACAAAACAAAATAACAAAACAAAAAAAAAGTCTTTTCTAAAAACAACCAAAACCACATAAACACTTTCAGCATTTATAAAGCAAGTAATGGTCACACAAAAAATTTTTTTTTTCAGATAACAAATATATTTTTGAATTTTTTCAGAAAACCTACCTAACATCCTGAAACATAACAAATATAAATTAATATTTTATACTGTTCAATACCTTGTAAAAATAAAAAAAAGTAAAAAGCTCTATGATATTTACATCTTCTTAAACACCTGAATGATTATCTAAAATAGAGTCACAATAAAGCAACAAAGTTTCAAAACTTACCCAAAATAAAAAACAAGAGTGATGATTTTTCATTGCATTTTTTTGAAGGAGCTAGGTTAACAAGAAACTTTAATAGACTATTTTTGTTTTTATTGGATAATCCACAAATCATTGATAAACAACTCTTCAGCTTCTCATTGGCCATAATCTCATCACTACTTAAACAATTATATGCATAAACAGATGCACAAAACTCCATTATTGTCAAATGCACAAACTGATAATAACAACCAAGATCAGTTTTAATCCTTTCTATAAATCCAAAAAAATTACCTTCATTTCTGTCAAAGTCACTATAAAAGTCTTGAATTTCTTCTTCGGAAAATATAATTTTATTTTCAACAAATAATTTATATGCAATTTTACAAATATTTAAAATCATATTTTTATTGGAACTATCTTCCATTATCTCATAAATCATTTTATTGATTTTAATGATGTGTTCTCGCAAAAAATATAAAAAAATATTAGCATACAAATCTGTCATTGTTAAGAAAAAATTTAAATCTGTTTTTTGTGAATCACTAATAATTTTACACATTGATGATAAATAAAATGGAACAGATGCCATGGCTTTTGCAATGGGAGACTCCTTTAAAGTTGTTTCTACAATTTTTTTTTTCCCTTTCACAACATGATTTTTTACATAATCATTTATTCCATTTTCATTAAATCCCATTATTTGAATGGTCAACTTATCACTATGTTTTGTAGATATACTTTGGTATTGATCAATTGCATAAACTCTACCAGCAATTATATGTTTGTATTTTTGAATTTCTCGTAAAACTTTAACAATCGGAGTGTTAGTCAAACTTGGATTTAATAACTCATTGAAATATTTAAACTCATCAAATCCATCAATTATAAACAGTGCAGTGTGACTACTAAATTTAAAATCCTTTACAATATCCTTGTAGAAAATATTTAATAATTCATTTATATTTGAAATATTTGCATATGAATTGAGTATCCTGCATTCAAAATAAAAAACAAGTTCAACATTTTTCCAAATTAAACTATTTGACCAATCAAGCAAACATTTTCTAAGCAACCATGTTTTTCCAATACCAGCTATTCCAGATATTAATATTACTGTTTTTTCTTTCAAAAATATTTCGCTATATGAAATTGGTGTATAAAGCACCTGCTTTTCAAGAAATTTCTTTCGTTCAACACTAAAAACAGCATCCACTGAGCGTTCCAATTGAGCATTTACTGCATCAACGATACAGAGATCAACAAATTTTTGTATAAGATCAACGTCTGCAGATGCTTTTATTAGTGGTTGAGGTTCACCTATTTTCCCATAATATTCAAGATAAAAATTTTTAAGTTCAGTCGACATCCTCAACAAATCTAAATTAAAAAAAACAATTTCTGTAAAGTCATCATCATGATTTTGCTAATGTTCATGATCATGACAATGATGACCATTATTACTATAGTTTTATATAAACATAAAATTTTTATTATAACATACTTGACATCAAACTTCTGATAAGTCTAATGAACCTAAATAGTTTTTCGAGAAGTGATTTTTATTAATTCAAGGTTTTTTAAATAAAACAACATTTAATTTTTTTAACAAAGTTATTAAAATTAGGAAACTATTTTTAACAAATTTTTTATGTAAATTTAATGTTTTTATATTTGACAAACATTTTATTTATTATTATCATAGATCACCCAGGTCATACTGTGAAAATACGGAATATTGTTTAAGCAAAATATTGGAAAAAATCAGAGATTTGCTTTTAGCTGAGTTGTTTAAATTATTTTTTTTAATTTTTCTTAATTTTTGTATAAGTGACACAATGGCTGGTGAACTTTAATTCAGATATCAATCAACATATTTTAGATAGGAAAATAATAAACAGTTATGTAATGACAAAACATAACAACCAACCATGTAACTAAAACAATTACTGCAAAAAAATAGTAACAATGTTTTAATAAATACAATAATCTTAATATCTATAAGCATAATAAAAACAATAAAAGTAAAATAAAGATTTCATTAAAAGAATAATAATAAAATTATATGATAATAAATCAATATCAATTTTAAAACAACAATTGAATATAATGCACAGACAGGAAAGTTACGAACAGTTATGCACTGACAAAACGTAGCAAGCTGCTATGTAACAATGATTTAACAAATATAATAATCTTAAAACCAGTAATCATATTAAAAACAATAAAAGTAAAATAAATACTTCATTAAAAAAAAACAATAAATAAACAAAACAAAAATTATTCAATGATACTCATAAATAAAAACGTGTCATACACACATTTAGTCACGAAAAGTTTTCATAATTAATGACAATATTAAAATTAAAAAGTAAATCATTTCAAGCAAACACATATCATCACTCTAAAATAATAAAATTTAAAGAATATTCTTTTTTTTCCTTTAAAAATGGAGCAATTTTTATATTTTATTTTAATTCATTTTTAATTCCTTTCCATTTTTGAATGTTTTTTTTCTTTTAACTTTAGTTTTTTGTCTTTCCTTTTTCTTTGCTTGTTTCATTTTTCATTTGTTAATTTTGTTTGATTTGTTTTTTAATTTTTTAATAAATCTTAATATTTTTCAACCATTTGTTATCGCAATAATTTTGATTTTCCTATATTCATGAATAATAATGTACTTGATGAGTCATCTACACTTCATCTTCTAGATATAGCTCTTACATCCAATCTATCATGGAAACTGTATATCAAATCCATTACAAAATTAACATCTGCTAGGGTTGCATCTTTTTGTGCTTAACACTTTCTTACTCTGAATATACTTTTTATTCCTATATATAAGAGCACTGCTCTAAAGAAATAGCTTCTCTTGTGCCTTCTACTTCTAAAATTCAAAATTCTTTTGTGCCTTTTACTTTTAAAATTCATTCTTGTGTTACTCGTCATTCAATTAAGTCTTATCCTTTTTCTGTGACTGTTCTAAAGTCCTCCAAACACTCTTATTTGTTTAGTTTTTTTCCACATACATTAGTTCTTTAGAACTCGCTCTCTTTTTCTTGTTTTCCTGATTCATATAATTTTCAAACTTTCATATAACTTGTATTTTGAAAGATGTTGAAAAAAAAAAAAAAAAGAAAAAAAAAAGAAAAGGTGACGAGTGGAAAAACTTGAACAAACAAATATAATCCAAAAATATATACTTATGCTTGTATGCATGGAAAACCTTTTTGATATTCGAAAAAACTGAAAATTGAAAAAAATGTCTGAAATTCCATAAACATTGGGGAAAAGATAATTCATGTAATATGTCTATTTTTTGTTATTATGTCTCTATTTAAACACTTTATTTATTACTACGTTATTACTTGTTATTTATTCAACAAAATTTTTACTTAACTTATTACTTCAAATCATTACTTATTATCACTAATTAATTTTTTTACTAAAATTGATTGAAGTTGCGACTTCTAAAAAACCTTTTAATATGAAATTTATTTTAAGTATTATCTCTAACAAACTTCTTAAAAAAAACTCTTACACAAATTTTTTCTTTGCACAACGGCCTTGCTTGTCAAGCTTCATGTTTTAAAGTTGAATAGCTGTGAGAGGGTCATAACCATAATAAAAAAAGGGTAAATGAAAAACATTCCCTCCCCAACTGTAATGGCCCATTGACCTTGGAGAGGTGACATAATAATTTAAAAGACATAAATAAAATTAAAAAACAAATATAAAAAACATATAAACAAATAAAAAAGGCAAGCTAAAGTTAACAAAACAACTTTTTTTTTTAAATTATCTTCGCTTCCAACAAGGCTGCAAACAACAACTAATTAGTGTTGGAAGTTACTGGAAGAGAAAAGATGAAGATTGTAGAGCAAGATAACGATTGACAGACAACTTAAAAGATTGCAAATTATATGAATCAGGAAAGCAAGAAGAAGGAAGCGAATTCCAGAGAACTGATGTTCGAGAAAAAACTAGACGAATAAGAGTTTAGCACTTAGAAACAGTAACAGAAAAAGGATGAAACTTAATTGAATGACAAGTAACACGAGAATGAATTTTAGTAGATAGCACAAGAGACACTAGCTCTTTCGAGCAGTGCCCATTATAGTATTTGTAGAAAAGAGAAAGAGAAGCAACATTACGACAATGTGAAAGAGGTTAAAGGTTGGCTGCAAGAGCAGGTCCAACTGTTTACTATGCGTTTTTGCACCTTATCTAAAAGAGAAAGGGCATCATTAGAAGATCCGCCCCTGATATGGCAACAGTATTCCATACAAGGCCGGATTTGAGATTTATAGAGATAGAGAATAGAATCCAGAGTAATCAAGTGATGAGCTCGATAAGGAGAAACAACTTTAGCAGATGTTAATTTTGCAACGGACTTGATATAAGGTTTCCAAGAAAAATCAGAAGTAAGAGTTAATCCTAGAAGATGATGAGTAAGAGACTCATCGAGTACATTACCGTTCATAAATATAGAAAGGTCTAAACTATTGCGGTAACGATTAGCAAAAGAAAATTGAGTTTTATCTGAATTAAAGTTCACCAGCCACTGTGAGCCCCATGCTGTAGCAGAAGTGAGGTCCTTTTCAAGCTCAGATGCCCCCTGCAAGCAATCAGAGGGAGTTATCATGACAAGAAAAAATGGTAGTATCATCAGCAAACAATGCCACCTTAGATGTAAGAATATCTGGAAGATCGTTAATGTAAATTAAAAAGAGTATAGGATTGAACCTTGAGGAACCCCTGAGGTTACAGAAAAAGAAGAAGAGTGTTGTCCATCAAGGACAACTTTTATACTACGATTGGAACAAAAGGATTCAATAATCTTATAGATGTTTCCAGATACACCGTAAGAAGAAAGCTTATGGAGAAGACCAGCACGCCAAAATTTATCAAACACTTTAGAAATGTCAAGAGCAATGGCCTTAACTTCTCCACCTTTATCTAATGCGCGATAAAACCTATTGGTTATTACTGATAGAAAATCAGCCATAGAACGAGAAGATCGAAATCCATATTGATGATCAGAAAATAGGTTATGAGATTCAAGATGAGAGATTAAGTGTTTCTTAATTAAAGATTCAAAAACCTTGCTTAAAATTTATAAAAAAGGGATAACAGATGTTGCTTTCCAGCAGGAATCCACAAAGTTATGTAAGAAGCACATTTGTCAACAGGGAGACGAAAGATTTCCACCTAGGGGCCATCACGAAGAAGATCACGGAAAGAGTCCCAGTCAGCATTAAGGTAGTTGTAAGATGTACGATGATAGGGGGATTCTGATGGTAAAGAAGAATGAGATAATAGTTTTAGAGAGACCAAACCATGATCAGAAGCACCTAAGGGTGAGTGTGAAGAAACTGACTAGGATCAAAAACAAGACATAGGTCGAGTAGAGAAGGTAAATGATTCGGGTTGTCTGGCAAGCGAGTTGGAAAGTTGACTATTTGAGTTAGGGATTAAAAAAGACAATAGTTGTGGGCCTTAATGCCTGCAGAGTCACTGACACTAGAGCCAAGCCATTCGTGTGATGAACATTAAAGTCTCCGACAACAACAATATTGGCTGATGGATAAAGAATGAGGGCTTGGTCAATATAATCAGAAATAACATCAAGAAGAGTGCAGTCTTGAAATGAAGGAGAGCGATATAGAACAAAGAGGAAGGTGATAGAGTGAAGTGGTGCTAAACGAAAGCACATAAAAGAGTAGTCTGTGGATTCAAACCTAGTTTCCCGACAAATGGGTGAATTCTTACGAATGTAAATGCCTAGGCCAAGCATGTGACTATTGGATACGAATTAAAGGAAGAAAACCATCAAAAATATGATCACAAGATGAGACAGCTGAACTCAAATTAGTCTCACAAAGAGCAAGTAGGTCTGGTGAACTTTGCAAGAGATAAGACTCAACAGGAGAAAAGTTACTTGGAAGTTTTTTGTGTTTTATAGTTTTTGTTACTTTATTCATTTTTAAATTTGTTAAAGAACTTGACTCGAAACATAGATAGTACTCAGTACACTGTCTTATAGCCTAAGCAATTGGCTCATTTCCATTAATAAACCCTTAGCCGTAACAAAGGGCTCCAATGTGGCCTTGGCAATGCACACCAAAAGTACAAACAGGGACACTATCCATGAGCAACATGGCACTGTTAGTACTCTGATATTTTTCAGCTGTTGATGGAATCAGCCTCTCTGAGAGCTATGAATCGAGTCAAGAAGATCCAGCGTTCAACATCCTAAACTGGAAACAATGTATTAAAAATACATCTGTGCTAGCTCAATAGATGAAGAAGGGGTGCGAGGCTGTTCAACAGATAGAATCTGTTGACCCATTAACTTTATCTGATCTTTTCACTAAATT